CATTACTTGCATTTTGCATGCATTTTGTCGTGCTATCTTGCGCACCTCATCGCACTGTTTTCTGCACATTACTTGCATTTTGCGTGCGTTTTATCGCGCTATCTTGCGTACCTCATCGCACTGTTTTCTGCACATTTCTTGCATTTTGTATGCATTTTATCGCGCTATCTTGCGCACCTCATCGCACTGTTTTCTGCACATTACTTGCAATTTGCATGGATTTTATCGCGCTATCTTGCGCATCTGCTATTTTGCGCTGTGACCATTACTTGCATTTTGCTTGCATTTTGTCGCGCTATCTTGCGCACCTCATCGCACTGTTTTCTGCACATTACTTGCATTTTCCATGCATTTTATCGCGCTATCTTGCTGTCACGCCCCCAAACCGCCCCTAGTAGTTTGGAGCCGTTTTATCGCGCTATCTTGAGCATCGCGCTATATTGCGCTGTGACCATTACTTGCATTTTGCATGCGTTTTGTCGCGCTATCATGCGCACCTCATCGCACTGTTTTCTGCACATTACTTGCATTTTGCATGAATTTTGTCGCGCTATCTTGCGCACCTCACCGTACTTTTTTCGGCACATTACTTGCACTTTGCATGCATTTTATCGTGCTATCTTGCGCCCCTCATCGCACTATTTTCTGCACAATACTTGCATTTTGCATGCATTTTGTCGCGCTATCTTACGCACCTCATCGCACTATTTTCTCTGCATTACTTGCATTTTACATGAGTTTTATCGCGCTATCTTGCGCACCTCATCGCACTGTTTTCTGCACATTACTTGCATTTTGCATGCCTTTTGTCGCGCTATCTTGCGCACCTCACCGCACTTTTTTCGGCACATTACTTGCATTTTGCAAGCATTTTCTCGCGCTATCTTGCGCCCCTCATCGCACTGTTTTCTGCACATTACTTGCAGTTTGCATGCATTTTATAGCGCTATCTTGCGCACCTCATCGCACTGTTTTCTGCACATTACTTGCATTTTGTATACATTTTATCGCGCTATCTTGCGCATCGCGCTATTTTGCACTGTGACCATTACTTTCATTTTGCATGCATTTTATCGCGTTATCCTGCGCACCTCATCGCACTGTTTTCTGCACATTACTTGCATTTTGCATGCATTTT